CATATTTCAATGTAAAACTTGGATTCCCTATTGTGGCCCGCCCTACCCCCGGGGGTCATGATTTGAACAATTTAGAATCTACCCTACCCCAGAATGCTTCCACATAAGTTTCAGCTTCTCTGGCCCAGTGGTTCTTGAGAAGAAGATTTTTAAAGATTTTTACTACATATTTCAATCTAAAACTTGGACTCCCTATTGCGGCCCCACCCTATCCCCGGGGGTCATGATTTGACCAATTTAGAATCTACACTACCCAAGAATGCTTCCACATAAGTTTCAGCTTTTCTGGCCCAGTGGTTCTTGAGAAGAAGATTTTTAAAGATTTTTACTACATACAGTTAAACTTCGTTATCTCGAAGTTGACGGGACCGTTGATGAACTTCGAGATATCCGGGGGTTTGACATATCGAGGGTTATAATTCAAATGAATTTCAAATAAACCTAATGTAAAATCAATTAAAAGAAAATTATTTTACCATAATAAAATCAAATGCAAAAGAAGAATCACGCACTTTTGTCTAACAACAGAACAACACTGAATCACAGGGCACTGTAGCACAAGTTTTCACTGCGACACACGCTCACATGTTGGTGTGTACGGACGATTGTAAATTCTGCACGCTCATATAGGGAAAATTAAATTCTAATTGCATTAAATTACAGAATTTTGTTTTGCTTCGATGTTTATAATTTTCACTTTCATATCCATAAACTGTATGCGCACATATTTCACATAGCATTAAATAGCAATTATCTAGATAAACGTACCCAAGCCACAAAATTAACGTGTCATCCACGCGTATGCATTAGACTAATACACACAATCTTTGGCTTGCATAATTACAATCAAGGTAAGCCATACATACACTTCGTATAATTATCGCGCTATTATCTGTTGATCACAGGAACACAGGTAACTCGAGCATGACAGACAGGTGGGTGTTATCAATAGAGCATTCAGTTTACCTAACGGACTTGATCATCAGAGCGGAAAATTATCCTGAGTTCGAGATAACGCATGTGATTTTAATGAATGGGTACACAATTTTACTTCGAGATAACCGGGGTATTCGACATTACCGTGTTCGACATAGAGGGGTTTATTTTAATCATTTATAAAGCAAATTTCGTCGGGACCGCGGCCTTACTTTGACATATCCGGGGTATTCGAGATATCCGTGTTCGAGATTTCGAAGTTTAGCTGTATTTCAATGTAAAACTTGGATTCCCTATTGTGGCCCTGCCCTACCCCCGGGGCTCACGATTTGAACAATTTAGAATCTACACTACCCCAGGATGCTTCCACATAAGTTTAAGCTTTTCTAGTCCAGTGGTTCTTGAGAAGAAGAATTTTTATTATTTTTACTACATATTTCAATGTAAAACTTGGATTCCCTATTGCTGCCCCGCCCTACCCCCGGGGGTCATGATTTGAACAATTTAGAATCTACACTACCCCAGAATGCTTCCACATAAGTTTCAGCTTCTCTGGCCCAGTGGTTCTTGAGAAGAAGATTTTTAAAGATTTTTACTACATATTTCAATATAAAACTTGGACTCCCTATTGCGGCCCCGCCCTACCCCCAGGGGTCATGATTTGAACAATTTAGAATCTACATAACCCCAGGATGCTTCCACATAAGTTTCAGCTTTTCTGGCCCAGTGGTTCTTGAGAAGAAGATTTTTTAATGACCCCACCCAATTTTCTTGATTATCTCCCCTTTGAAGGGGACTTAACCCTTCATTTTAACAATTTAAACTCCCCCTCACCCAAGGATGCTTTGTACCAAGTTTGGTTAAAATTGGCCCAATGGTTCTTGAGAAGAAGTCAAAAATGTGAAAAGTTTACAGACGGACGGACGACGGACAACGGGTGATCAGAAAAGCTCACTTGAGCTTTCAGCTCAGGTGATCTAACAATATGTTCCCAAACTTCATTTGGGGAACATAATAAATCTATTTAAAACACACACAATGACTATTCCTACTGGTAATAATGATATACATACACCATGTGCAATCCAATAATGATAACGGTAAAAGTAGTGCTCATAGTGTGATGTAATTCCAATGCCATGCGTGGGTCTAGAAATTTTCCAAAAAGGTGTACATTTGTAAAATTTATATTATAATTACAAACAATGTTTTATTTTTACATAAGTTTGAATTATCTATTCCAAATATGACAGGAAAACAGGTAAATCATGGGTGGGGGTTGATTTTTGACAAAGTTGATTAGGAGTAGGTTTGGAAAGGGGTTCTCCTACCTAAATACTGATAAAAATGTGCACAAGTTGTCATTTTGGCATCTAATTTTTTTTTTTAAGTTCATCAAAAAAGCTATGCACTAAAATAATAATATTTGTTGCTTTGACAATAAATTCAACAAGTTCCAATTATGGGCCAAAAATTAACCACCCCCCCCCCCCAACTTTTTTTTTTACACAAATCTTTCAAAAATTCTCTCTTCAACAGAATTTACATTATGAAATTATGTAATATCAGACTGGTAATGAAATATTTACAGAAGAGGCCCATATGGGCTGCATGTTCACTTGAGCATTTTATGCTTGATTTAAATGTGTGATTCTTCCCTGGTTACCAGAATTTGAAGGAGAGTGCATTTAGAGGCAAACATCTTAGTGCGGGTATTAGTGTCTTATGACAGCATCTAGTTTATTTCTTGTTGTCTGAGGGAATTATGCCTTGTATGTACGTTGGAACATTTAGTCATTACCTTCTCAAATCATATTTAAGTGCAAAGCTGGAGAGAATAGGGTAACATTAGTGTGTCCAAGTGAGCTGATTCGGGGCAAAATTTCGCCCGCTCTCAATTTTGTATATCTCAGACATGTGAGTGGATGGGAATTTCATATACTGTGTATAGCTTAAATAAAATTAAGCAGTGATTCATTTTGAAAATGGTTATCATGGGTCCAAAGGACCCCTCTTAATGACAACAATGAGTCCATGCCAAAATCAATGCGTCCAAATCCAAGGGTAACATATATTAGATATTACAGAGGAAATTCTGGTGAAATATAAAAGTGTATTGCACAAAAGTGCAAATGTTAAATTGTAGCTGTGAGTGGTTTATACTTTTACTATCAATTGTCCAAGTAAGAGTACATGATTTTGTGTCATAAAAATAATATACTGTCAACTTTGCAGTTTGGTTCTATTTTTAGATTGTACATATGAAATCACACATTGTATCAGTCATAAAATGCACAGAAGCAGAATGAAGTAAAGAAAGTTTAAATAGTCGGAAATAAAAATTATTAAGTTTTATACTTCTAAGCTTCTAAGGAAAAAAAGATACAAGTTACAGTTTATATACAAAGGTATTATAGTATACGCTTCAGAAATGTTCTACAGTATAGACATGATCAGTGATAATCGAACTATGCTAACTGATAATTTCACAATTGTTAACTCCAATTGTGAAATCTGACCTGTTGTTGGCAACCTAATACCTGTTAAAATTGTTCATGCATATCGCTTAGCACGTGGATATGATGCAATTGGTCAAGTTTTGAATCAGATTATACCGAAATAATTTAAAATGATATATGTCCTTCTATAAATTTATTGTGTCCATTGGGATGCACATTTATTGAAATAATGCGTCCTGAGCAAAATTTGTGCATAATTTATGCAGGACACAGACCAAAATGAATCACTGATTATGTAATAAAAATCACAGAATCATAGAATAGGCATTGTTGATCTGTTTGTTCAATTATAGCATTTGCTAGTCTGAAATGGACAAAACCACTTCGTCTACTTTCTTAACCAGAAATTATTAGCCAGGCACAGGGGACATTTTTAAAATCAAACTGTAAAACTTTTGGATAAATAGGTATAGATTGATTGAAATTATCATTAATGAACTCTTTTCAATTTTTCGACAATTTTTCCTCTTTTTTTAGCTTTTATGTCTTTAATTTCATCAACCTGATTCCTCTAATTCTGATTCACTTTCAGTTACTGGCTTAACTTCACCATTTATTATTTCAGCTAAAATGACAATGATTGTTTGAATCATTATCAAACCTATTCTGGGTTTCAAACCCTTTCCTCCATCAAAAACTTTAGGATTCAATGTTTTTTATTTCACCCATGTGGCTCTATTCTCTTGCAGAACCAAATGAATGATCACTAGACACATAATCATTGACATTATCTTCAGAATTTACAATCCATAGTAAGAAATACATAAAAAGTCTATAGGAAAGTTTCCAGTGAAAAAAAAAAATTCCAGAAAAAGTTAACGAACTTGGAACAGTTCAAACTGACCTTAACTGGATGCTAGCCAGTACGTTAAGAAATGCGTAAAGGCACATGCAAACATGCATAAATCTTGGTATTTGGCTAGTCAGGCCACACACTTAAGCGGTGACGGCAGGAGATGACACTTGAATATCTTGTGGAGGCTATGAAATGAAATTCATCCACAGCCATTAACTATCAATGTACCTTGATCCCCTTGTAATTGTAGGTATACAATACTGTTTTCAAGTTATCATTTATGGTGTGCATTATCACAGAAACTGATATGCACTTCAGTAAAATTCAGTAGAAAGAACTGTCTTATAAGGAAATCTTGGTTATAAGGAATCTTAGGAATCCTGTGATAGATTTTTCACTCTGTTCCTTATATGGATATATAATCTCAGTTATAAGTAAGCAAACTTTGAAAACCCAGCTGTGACCTTCTTATAAACAAGTAATACTTTTTTTTTCCCCTGAGTTCTTTTGTGGATGTATAAACTGACATCTTTGGTTACATATATTCTAGTTGGATGATCCCCATACGGTTTTTGAGCTCCACTTGACACCATAAAAAGTTTTAAACAAAGTTAATTTCTCTTATTTTGCTGCTAAAATGTTCTTTACATTAAAAGATTTCTGCAATATTGTTAGTATTTCTAAATTTTTTCAAACTATACAAAAGATATACAATACAGTGACTAGATATTAACATCATCTTCACTTACCGTCAGAACTAAAGCAAGTGGTCCAAGATAAACCAAAAAGAAGAAGCCAAATATCATCAACCAAGTAAATATCCCACGAATAATCCAGTTTCTCCACCTAAATAGCAAAAGAATAATGGTCAAATTGCAAGACAATTCACTAGTAGTAACTGGTATTGAACATTTTCGGAATCTCAGACACCTGACATCGCACTACAGACAGCGGACTTGCGAACAAATGACAATGTACGGGGAGCGTATAAAAATACGTTTTAACATTTACCTGAGAATTTTCTTTCATTATCTCTGACATCTATTAAAACGAATAAATTTAAAACAATTAAATAGGTCAGAATTGTAGATTGGAAGTCAAAGATTAAAAAAAGTTCGTTCTTGGCACATTTTACAAACAATTAAACTACGACATTAATTGATCATAATTTAATGTGTGCATCTTTTAATTACAAATTGTTTATTAAATTACATCGATGCAGTAATGTTTTTACATTTATATTAAAAGGTCTGTCTTTCAAAATCAAAGAATCAAGAAACTTCCTGGACCCCCAGAAAGGCTTCAAATTCAAATTTTCCCTGTACCCAGTGGAAACCTCAAGTAGGTGGCCTCAGATCCCACACAGGTATCCTGAGTAATTTACATCACACTTTGTCCGGCTATTCCAACGAGAATGTACTTGTTCATTTTTTTATTTTTAGGGGTAACATGTTTACAATTAAAGTTTTAAAATCAGTAGTTATATGTCAATTAAAGCCCAGTGTATTTGCCCCCCCCCCCTTTAAAATATCAGGCTCCGCACCTGATATGTGGAGTAAGAAATAAGCTGTATGTGATATATTATTCATGTTCAAAAAACTGATAATATGTTATTGTCCAAAGCTATTTATTTCCCGAGAAGGTACTTTTTTCTTTATGTTAAATGTTGTTTGTCCACAAACGATTCCTTAAACAAAATTTATCATATAACATATTTTTTACAGTGACGCCATAGCTTACTTTGACAGATTTTTTTCTTATTTCAAGATCATGCGCTCATAAAGGTATCTATATCAAGATGCAAGTCCTTTACATTTTCTTAGTTCTTGGAGATTCCTAGGCCTGCTTTCTTTTTGTTGTTGGGGAAATGGTGCCACTGGAATTAAACAATTAATCTCTTGGGAAAGGGGACAAATCATTATTTTAGGAAAAGTTGGGGAGACCCCCTCCCCCCCCCCCCAATACCTCGTGCATGTGTACACTTGTACAATACAGAGTAGTGTTTCTCATACAAATCAAAACGAAATGTAATAATCGAGTACAATGAATTAAGACTACAAAATTTATTTATATTATTCACTTTTTGACATGTTCCCTTACGTGAAAAGTCCACTGTCTGAAGTCAACTGTCGGGTGTCTGAGATTCCGAAAATGTTCATTAAGCCAATATTCAAACCAGTCACATGGCAGTAAAATACAAAATTGCTAATCGATTAACTGCATCACATTCTGACAAATTAACCAATTAATCATATCAAAATACAAATGGTATTTGATATGCCTATATTTTTATAGAATCATGTACGTTTGTTCTTAAATAACTAAGGCCATTCCAAGTTTTTCAAATGTTTAACTCTGCAGACAGATTGGTTTTGGGATTTGAAAATTAAACAAGAGGCCAATGGGCCACATCGCTCACCTGAGTACATTGGCTAAGATTGGGGGGGGGGGGGGGGCTTGAATTTTAAACTACCTGATGATGCTTCCATATCAATATCACAAATGGCTTTGCTGTTTTTGAGCAGCAGATTTTTTCCTATATATTCATTTATAAAAATTTTATCCCCCATTGTGGCCCCACCCTACCCCCAATGGCCCTCATTTGAACAAATTTGATTCTACACTACCTAAGGATGCCTCCATATCAATATGACTAATCATGGCTTTTCTGTTCTTGAGAAAAAGATTTTTTCCTATATACTCCTAAAAGAAGATTTTTATACCCGCACTTTCTAAAGAAAGTTCGGGTGTATTGTTGTTACTCATGTCTGTCCGTCCGTCTGTCACACACTTCTTTCTCAAACTCCTCTTACATTTTACACAGTAGCCTAATCATCTTTTGGGAGATGGTTGGTGGTGTCCTGTAGATGTGCAGTAAGGTTTCAGAATTTTCATTTTCACCCTGGGGGTCAAATGGGGGTCGAAAAATGACATTTTTTATGCAAAAAGCCCCTGGTTCCCTGAACTCCTCTTACATTTTACACAGTAGCCTAATCATCTTTTGGGAGATGGTTGGTGGTGTCATGTAGATGTGTAGTAAGGTTTCGGAATTTTCATCTTCACCCTGGGGGTTAAATGGGGGTCGAAAAATGATGTTTTTTATGCAAAAAGCCCCTGATTCCCTGAACTCCTCTTACATTTTACACAGTAGCCTAATCATCTTTTGGGAGATGGTTGGTGGTGTCATGTAGATGTGCAGTAAGGTTTCAGAATTTTCATTTTCACCCTAGGGGTCAAATGGGGGTCAAATTTTATAAAAAAAAATATTTAACATGTTTAAACACCCTGGTTCCTAGAATTTCCCTTTTATTTTATGCATTAGCCTTAAATCATAATCATTTGGAAGATGATTAATTTTGTCCTGTGGATGTGTAAAATGGTTTTAAAATTTGCATTCCATGCGGATTGCAAATAGGGGCAGGAAAAAAATGGCCCCTCCCTAACCCATGAGGTCATGATTTGTACAAACTTGAATCTACACTTCTCGAGAATGTTTCCATATTAATCATGCTCTTGTTGTTCTTCAAAAGAAAATTTTGAAGATTTTTTTTCTTTTTATTCCTATATAAAACTTGATCCCTTATTGTGGCCTGACCCTATTCTCAGAGGTCATGATTTGAAAACTAGAAATATGTCCATAGGACATAAATGCCCCTCCGAATGTATATAATTACTAATGCAACATGAAAATTTGTATGAGTGTATGAAGTTTGATGAGAATATCTTGAACAGTTTCTTTAAAATTGAAACTAAAATCTAAAACAATTGGATATAGATGATAAATTCTCACCAAATTATGTATAAGTGCATGCTTACATAAAAATATCTTAGATTGTTTCTTTAAAACTAAGCAAAATACAAATTAAAGAGAAGGGAGGTCAAGGTCACAGAAAAGTGCAAGGTGAAAAGTTTTTGAAGCAGTTGAATAGCTCTCACTAATATACATCTGCATATAAGGTTTGATAAAAATATCTTGAATGATTAATTTAAAACTCAGAGCTTAACACTTATTTAAGAAAAGAGAGGTCAAGGTCAAAGGAAAGGTTGAGGTCAAAATGTTGATGCAGTTGAAAAGCTTACATCAGTATGTATTTACTATAAGCATATGAAGTTTGATAAAAATATCATAAATGGTTTATTTAAAATTAGATACACACTAATTTAAATCAAAAGCCTGAAAGGCTTCAATGACGTCGAAGAAGAAAAACAATTTCAAAAGATCATTTTGAATTTGAAGATAGCAATAAGTCAAGTGAGTGACTCAGGAGACATAATAAAAAAAAATAGTTTTAAACAAAATATCACAATTACACAGTCTGGGGCCTTATGTCATGGTCCGAATGGAGCAGGGTTCGAATTGACCAAACACCGTCGAACATGTTCATGCTAAATTCTTTTCAGTCAGTTGAAGAACTATGAAGGATTTCATGAATTTATATAATATTTTTTTCTAATTGCCAATGTCAAAGCATTGTATTCGTGATTGCATCTAAACTACAACCAAGACTCTGTTCTGTTACAATTACGATCGAGTTACGATCGGGCGTGGTATACGGTATACTGGGAAATGGAGGAAATGGAGAAATACAGCAATACTGGTCAATATCATTGGTTTTTAGGATAGAGTTGGTTAGAAGACTGTATAAGTAAAGCTAAGATTTAGAAATTCAATCTTTTATTGTCTTGTAGTATTCGTGTTTATGTAATTTTGTAATTATTTTACCTCCTGTTGTGTTGTTTACGTTACACGGTTATTGTTCCGAAATGTTATTCATGTCATTCAACGCACCCTTTCTGTAGAAATTCATCCGCAACAACCATCACGTTTTTCTTGTGTGAGAATAAAACATAATATTGTTGTTTTGCAATAGAATTAATTGCAGATATAATTGATGCAATTTTATTGTCAAGCTATTATTTATTTTTAGCGTTTTCAAAGTAATAGGTTTATAGCTATTGCCATTTTCTATTGCGGATGCATCGACTGACACATTCGGTCGCGTACATATCCGGTCGCGATTTCAACTGGGCGCTTGCTAGATGACGTTCGAGCTCCAAGAGCTCGACGTCATAAAAAGTGAGGTCAAGGTCAAAGGAAAAGTCAAGGTCAAAAAACTTGATGCAATTGATAGCTCTTAGCAGTATGTATCACCATATGAAGTTTGATTAATATATCTTGAATTGTTTATTCAAAACTGATCTAGACACTAATTTAAGAAAAGTGAGGTCAAGGTCAAAAAAGGTTGATGCAGTTGAAAAGCTTACATCAGTATGTATCAGCATATGAAGTATAATTACAGTAACTTGAATGATTTCATTAAAACTAAGCTAAACACTAATTTAAAGAAAAGTGAAGTCAAGGTCAAAGGAAAAGTCAAAGTCAAAAATGTTGATGCAGTTGAATAGCTTACATCAGTATGTATCAGCATATGAAGTATAATTACAGTAACTTGAATGATTTCAATAAAACTAAGCTAAACACTAATTTAAAGAAAAGTGAAGTCAAGGTCAAAGGAAAAGTCAAAGTCAAAAATGTTGATGCAGTTGAATAGCTTACATCAGTGTGCAGCAACATATGAAGTTTGATTACACTGTCTTTAATGTTATCTTTAAAACTGAGCTAAACACTAGTTTAAGAAAAGTGAGGTCAAGGTCAAAGGAAAGGTCAAAGTCAAAAAATGTTGATGCAGTTGCATAGCTCTTATCAATATCTATCAGCATATGAAGTTCGATAAAAATATCTTGGATAGTTTCCTTGAAACTGAGTTTTGAACTGAGCTAAAAGCAAAGCGCGACGGAAGGACAGACGGAAGGATGGAAGGACAGAAGACAGACATGACAAACAC